GGCGATTTGCCATGCGTGCTGCAATATATTTACAGTCAGACGGTACCCTACACACTTAAATTCACAATGCTATGTATGAAGGTCTGCAGAGTGTATGTGGGAGTGTATGTGCGAGCTGATAGATAACAAGTGAGAGGAGTCGACATCTCCGGATGACAGAGCATCCAGGGATGCTGTGAACAATGACAGGTCATTATGTAGTATGAAAATGTCCATCTTATTCTCGAAAACTGATTTGAGAGTAGAGGAACGATGAATACCAATGGGTCGCATTGGAAGTACTGATAGACTCGCTGACAGCGTCCCACCTACGCATATATGGGCGGTATCATCCTATGTATGTAGAGATAGCAATTGACATGTAATATCTTCAGAAAAAGATATGTTTACGTTCAACAATGAAAACAAAGTTAAGTCTTCGTTCTGACATATAACTAAAATTATATTCCCACGAAACCTCACAGTCAACCGTCATTTCAGTACGCTCAAAGAGTGGCTGCTGATACCTTGACAAGCAGTATCTCGAAAGCACTTACTTCTAGGGTTGCTTGCGTTATCGACCTCGTCACAGTCATCCCATCCTACCACCCCTGTCAGTGAGGAATAAAAAATTGATGTCAATCAGATCGAATAAATGTTTTATCAGGAACTGGATTCGGCTTGTACATACATACGTCTAGAGATGGACTTCATGCGTACTACTGTTAGTATACGGCATTGCCTATACTGTGTTTCTAGGTAATTCACGCAGCCTTTTGAAACTGACTGAGGGGTGTACAATTTGAGATTATTTCTGTTAGAAGACGTTATGGTGTGCAGAGATCTAGCCACGAACAAGCTCGAGAAACTACTGCCTTTCTAAGTAGGATACATGTATGCATGTACAAAGACGTCCCATGTAAATATAAACCTGCAACAGTGACAGCGGCACTACCGCATTTTTTTTTGCATGCACTCGTGGGTCCACAGCACAAGCTGCTGGTCGCCAGTTGAGGTAACGAAAAGTTGAGCGCATATAAACTAATAATGTGCGTGTAGACTAAGATTTGTTTACATGTACTCTCATATGTGTACCGAACTTGTATATAACAGTACAACGCGCACACAAGCAGCGCCTCACGTACCTATGTCCCTGTTTACTTCCACTGTGAGCTGACAATTGATGGCGAGGGTAGACATCGTCTTTGCGAGTGTGTTGATGAACACAGTGCCACACATTCCGCTGTCTGGTATGAACGAGTACGTGCCCGTGCCTGCTTCTGCCTATGGAGAGAAACATTTACATGCACATAAATTGTACGTTATGAGCAGTCGCTAGATAGCACTTTCCAATATGATATCACGCATACTGCGGTTGTTTTACACTCACGCATATACAGCACGTGTTCTAGAATGTCATGTGTATATACATGCCCTCCCATAAGTATTTAGCCATACTATATAGGATTACTCATATAACTTCAGATACATGCGCATGTGCATCGCATTTGACGAGGCGAGTACTGGCAAATTAATATCTCCGTAGCCGCGCCCATTCACACAGTATTTACGTACCTGTGCGTACTTGAATCTGTATTTGTTTGACTCCACTTGTTCACATATGCAAACACGTACATACTCTTGTATTCTCACGCGCGGGGAATGCAAGTCGATTTACTAATACCGGTTTGTTAGCGTCATACGAAAGAGCTTGCACAATATTCCAGACTATTATACTCACCAAGTACGTAGCCGAGAAGGCTATAACATACCAAATCGCGCAGCAGACCACTTTGGACATTATATCCGAAACCAAACGTATTGATTTGACAACCCAGCGGTATTGCTGGATCAGACAGGTATTTGTGGTTCAGCGTGAAATCCTCTCATCGGAGTGCTCGTGGGGACGCCATCTACAACAAGGATAAAGTCCAAGATAGCACACTTAAACTGCATGCGCAATGAAAAGTGTACACAATTAGTACAGACTATTAGGTATATTGATGGACTGAAATGCAGAGGTCACAGATCCGCAGCAAGTATACACATCATTTGTTTTATAACATTGATTCGCACGTTGCACTACTCCACATGTCCAAGATAGTTATAATACACTGAACTTTCGAAGAAAGTGTTCCAGACTGATTGCATGTACATGTGCGTATTTTGAGCTGGAATACGACCATGGATATGTGCCAGAAAAAAGACCATCCCAAGTCTACAAAAGGTCAGTAGAATATCAGCGACACCCATTTAAGTCACTAAGAAGTATGAATGCGGCACACTATAGGTGAAAATATAGTGAAAATCCTAAACACGCCAGTGAGAGGCATAATCGAACCACGCACAACCTCAATTGTCTGCTTGCGGCGTACAGGGCTTCGGAATAGCCATTGGCTAGTTTAAAGACCTATTGATACAATCTATACACAGGTAGGCGCTACTATGACAATAGAACCACAGGATAATCTTTAGTAAAACATATATACCAGTGAGAAGCATGATGGACGCACATCGCGTGATGTCCGCACGAGTTAGTACTAGATGAATGCTCGAATCTAGGCCTGCCCATAGATTGGTACCGCCTGCTGCATTCATGTGACCAACCTTGGTTAAGGCCAACTCAGTGCCTCTACAAGTGAGTAGGAAATATTCATAATGGACATTAAGGGAGGAGTATAGTGATTTTACCGTTATGTGCGCAGAAGGTGCAGTATAGAATTTTCCTACGGCCGTTTTAGTGTCTCAATGGGTGGGGTATGGCTTTGTGAATGCCAATATCATAAGACAATCCGTACAGTTCATGTTCCGTAGTACTGCTGATATAATCGACAGCACGCAGATCTCTTGGAAGTGTCCTAGCATCCACCAGGCAAGGGTGTAGAATATAAACTACAACCTAAGCTGACCAGCATGGACAAATCATCTTCAATGCCTTGGCTACTGAGCCAGTTAGAAATGCAATCGAAGTATTGCATACACTGCATGTAGGAGTGAACTGATTGACCCAGACCCTTAATGATGCGAACGTCACTTCGCTGTCTCTAACGGTGAGCTAGGTGTCATAACTAGAGCTTAAGATAATTCAGTCTATATGGATTCTTGGTGGTCCGCAGTTTTGGACTGTAGTATCTAGCCCTTGCCACGCCCTGGGAGGGGTGTGGACATATCGTATCACACTGTAGAGAGGGCTATTGCACTCAATGCTAGAAGTACAATTTGTACACCTTGTAAAAGTACAATTTTCACATCTTGTACAACTCAGTCTCTGCGCACATATGCAACTGAGAAAGTGAAAACGTGTGGTATTAAGTTGTGGAGATCTGCGGTATACTGATGCAAAGGACAAAGCAACAACTACCCACACAAAATGGACAAAAAGCGATGTAACCACAGATGATAAGAAGCCTCCCAAACATTATTTCTCGGAATACAAGCGCTAAACAATACATACTCTGTATCCATGACAGTCAGAGGAAGTACACAGTGAGCGTTCGTGCTGAACGAAACAATGGCCAATCTGGAATCTGCGGATAGCGAATAGATGATGGTGGTGATGGCGTGCTTCACCAGGTCCAACAGAGTCAGCCCATGGGTCTCAGTCGGACCGCGTTCGGTTAGTACCTAGTACAACGGTAGGATACAGGTTCAGTGATATGTCTACACGTGTGTGCATCTGACTATATAGTTATGATGACACGTGACATGTGAGTGAGGTACACGCGTATAAATTTATGCACAAACAAACTGTTCATGTGACCAAAGCGAATCAACACATTTAAAAATTTCTTAGGAAAGCCACCAGGTAGTGCTTGTCAGCGACGATAAAGTGCTTTAACATGCTCAGCATGGTCAAGGTGTGGGTCCAAAACACTGCCTCCGGTTGTATACTAATTTGGCTTTGTATTCACATGGGTAGGAGCATGCTACACGCAGCTGGAAGCTACGGCAGCCGTACCCATTGAGCGCGAGGCACTACACATTATATCGGTTGTATGCGACACACACCGCTTAAAATGGTACCAGCATATAGTGGGCACACTCAAATCGCAAGCACAACAACATGTCATCAACGGGGTATTATACAACTTAACCCATGTGAGAGCGAGATGTTACCTCGGATGTGGCAGCCATAGATCCAGACACGTCAACAACACAGACAACGTCCACAGGCATGACTGCCATCTGTTGAGCTGTGGGGTTGGGTGTGTTGATGTGTACAGCAACATCCATCATCATGCCATCAGTCTCATTCTCGGTAGACACTTCCTGTGTGTTATATTAAGTTGAGGAACTCCCAATAAGGACACACGACAATAAGAATAGAATTGCCCATAGTTGAACGTAATCCGGTTTACATACGAAAACAGAGAACTATCTGTCGGCTGTTGTGCCCTGAAGTGCTGAAACTCAAGGGGTATCTCAAATCAACATCCTACAATCACCCGTTATATTTAGGATGAACTCGATACATGCACATATGGCATACAACACACTCGGGCAAATATAACACCTACTGTTGTCAATAAAACGCTGCGATCAATGGCATCACGCTCCTACATAGTCTCTGGATCGATTCGACTAATTTCTGGTTCCTTTGTGGACATCTCTCGACCTTTATTCGGCTTGTTTAGTCCCTCGAGAAGATGAGGAACAAAAAGAACTTCGCACCTAAGACATAGAGATATCAATTGGTCGGTTCGAATACCGATACCATCCTCGTCCCTCAGAAGGTTTGCAAAAGTAGTGTTTGCCCAGACTAGAAATAACACCGGCTATGAAAGAATAGTTCATAATATTGAAATGACTCATATTGCGTCAACAATCTGGTTAAAACGGTCACATACACTATATGGATGAAGCAGAACGCTCAAACACACCCGTATAAAAAATAACAAAATTATCTACACGAAGAGAATTCGTATTCCCCCACGCTGAAACATGGAACCCACTATACACATCCGAGTGTATCATATATATACAAGAAGCATATCCAATTGGCATCGTGCTGTCGGACAAAGCGTTTTCTCACACGCTACTCGTGCCATTTATAAAGTGATTCTGCATGAATCTTTTTATAATTAAATTGATAGGAATTTGATAGTTATTACCCTAGGGACGATATTTTAGTAAAATCCATGTGTCTCCAGGTAAAGAATACATATACACACCTTGTTCGTCACAGAGATATGGAATGTTTCTATCTCTACATCTAGTATTACTTCTCAACTCCAAATACTAATAGGACCTTTTAAGCTATCCTGTAGGCTGTGGCCCTGCCAATACATCTTTGAAATCCAAAACAACATGATAGACCAAAGTATGTATGTCTCAAGCGATGATCTTTTCACTCGACTCACATTAAAAGATGTGGAATGTAAGATGAACTCTCGCACATCATATAGTTGTGGCCACACAACCGGGTGGGTCCTCATATTAAGCGCCTCAACAATAGCATCTTGATACAACTTACTGTTTATTCCTATATTCCTATCGATGTACAGCAGATATCCAAACCAGAAAGTGTAAATCAACACAAAAGTCACGCTACCAAAACAGCCAGCCGAACGAACATAAATACGATTGAATAAAGCACTTGACCGCCATGTATTCAAATAAACATCACTTGACAAACCTATCGATAAACATACCGATTGGGTACTAAATTTGCTATTGTCATGGGTGTGCGCGTGATCGGACTGACGCCGTGGCTTTCTAACCACTGTTCAATTGCCGCTCTATCATAACAATTCCCCTCCGGGTCTACGACAGGGTCAGCCATAATCGCATGCGTGATGGGACAGGTAATTCCCTCCATTTTATCAGTAGCCGACATCATGATACACTTTCGTACTTGTGCTCCTATCCATCTAATACAGGCATAGCTCAATTATAGAGCTACATACGCGTAGATATTAGTACATTATAGTCAAAACTTCAACATCATCACACCCCAACATGGTAAGTATTTACTTTTCAAAATCAAAATGTGCATAAAAAGCGTGTCAATAGGCGTAAAAAGCGTACACGCGCAAAAAAATATATGGCTATGATTAGACTGAGATAACACTATTTACCGATGATGTCATCGTATTTTCCACAAAAACAAAAAAATTCACATCTGTCGGCTGGGTCATATTAGTGTAAAAAAAAATGTCAAGAAGCCCATACACTCGCCTATTATTCACATACATATACACATACTTATTTACATACACATAGATATGTCTTTCATACACACAATGCCATTTTACGTGTACACGTACACATAAACATACCTTTTGACATACACGTAGCTATTCACATACATATACAGATACATATTCATACACCCCTACACACGAACTTACCTATTGCATACTCACACATATGCCTATTCACATATACATACACATATAATATCCGTATACACATCAGCATGCGTATTGACGTGTACTTGTACTCACTTAAAACACCTATCCACATACACATGTACGTGCCTATTATTCACGCACACATGCACATAAATATATCTATTGGCGGACCCATGTACATGTACATATGCACATATAAAAACCTGTCCACATACACATACACAACCTTATTCACATTCACATGTATATGCCTTAATACACACTTGTACATGTACACATACATATGGACATACACATACACTTAACGCACGCATACACATTCACATGTTTATTTACACGTGTACACTTACACATACCTATCCACATACACATACACAAGCCTATTCACATGCCTATTCATACACTCACATGCCCATACCTATCCGCATATGCACACATATACATACACATGCATATCCATACCGCACATACATATACGTATACCTGTCCACATACATATATACGCGTGCCTACTCACACGTGCCTACTCATACGGGCCTACTCACACATACCTGTTAACATACCCATACATATACACGTACCTATTCACATACCTATATACCTGCGTGTTCGTGCACACATACACGTCCACGTTATTATATATCTAAATATTTACTAATATTTAGCATATTTAGCTCGTACTTTCCACAAAACAATATTAAAAACTATATTAAAACTATTCAATAAATTACCTCCAGAGACTTGATTTCCGAAATGTGCTTCCCTGATATGATCGAGAGACACATGTCTTTTTTCTTTGATGTAAGCAAACTCTTTTTCTACCCGTTGCGATATGTCTTCTTAATTCTTCCGACTATAATTAAAGGCATTTTGTCTGGACACGGGTAGCAATATAATTTCCGACGATCTTAACATGTCGTCATAGCTAAATGTACAGTTTTTTTTAACCAGGCAAGAATATGTGCCTATAGAGCACATGCATTTGAAACAAAGACGAAAAGAAAAAAAGGTTCACTTCACATACACATGTAAATTATAATACGCGACGCTGTATTAGAAAATTGCATGCAATTTATTGGAATCACAATTAGCGCTATTTTGTACTTTGCCAGAACAAGAACAAAGGTAGATATTTACCTTTTTTTAATTTTGTATTACATATACAGTACAGTGGCACACCACAACGAGGTCTCGCATTGGTGAGGAAAAGGTCAAGGGGGCTCAACAGATGTTCGTACATACGACTATTCCTAAAATAGCTACAGAATATCTAAATCAATGTTCAAAATTTTGAAAGACGTATATAATTACGCTGTAAATTTGGGCGCAGTGTACATACATATTATATTTCTAACTAAAGGTACAGTCTCTTTGACTTTGGCCTTTTTGGCTTTGCATCTGCCATTGTCATAAATTGTACTTTTTATATTTTTAAATATCTACTCTTGCTGCATAGCTCAAAGGCCTCAAACTATGGAGGACTCTTTTAAAAAAGTCTCCCGCCACTACGCCTAACATTCTCATTCACGGTTCACCACCTCTAGGCTCTATGTCTATTTACAATATCTTTTTTTGTAACTTTTTGAAAGAACGTATTTAGAAACAGGTGCACAGAAAGTATTTTTATAAGAAATAAATAAAAATGTACAAGAAAAATAAGTGCGTCCTAAATATGACCCCTATCTATTTACATAAATATTTAGATATTTACTCCTATCAAATGCATTTTGATTTTTGTTGCAAATGTAACGGAGTTAAAAAATTTACCGACTGATCACTGAACAAGAAGTAAATAGTAAATACACTATACAGTGTAAATACCTGGGCTGGTTTCTGACAGCACTTTTCACTATGACGACATGTTAAGGTACTTCTCTATGACGACACGTCCGGACGCTATGTCTTTTATTACAGTCAGAAGTCCGATTAACGTCATGTTTTTCTCCTAAGAAGACATATCGCGACGGGTAGGAAACTAGTTTGCTAATACGACGTGTCTTTGTCGTATACCAGGCCAGGTGAATACACTGTACGACATACGCCGTATGCCTTTTTTATATACATAATATTCTTGTGTTGATTGTTTTTGAAAAACAAAAGAATGTATATATGTATATTGTTGTAAATTTAAATTAAAAATTCAATATGTATGTACCGACATAAAATTTAAAAATAAATCAATATATTTTTAAAAACAAAAATTTATTTATGTAAAATATTTATGTAAATCAGTATTTGCTTTTTTTTTAAATAGCGATTTAAAAAAATAAATGTACTTGAATATTGTAATTGAATTTTTAGCAAAATACCTTTTGTTTTGATTTGTTTTTGGTTAATAAAAAAAACAAACACAACACAGGATGTATTCTATTGAACAGGAAAAAAATTGCATAAAAATATAATATGCCAGGGGATGGCCGTAGGCCGCAGGCCGCAGGGGCCGCCATCAAGGGGGCGCAGTGGCCATGTTCTAATGTATAATTGCCTATGGCCCTACGAGGCTATGCCTAACCTCATAAAGTTTAGCGTTCAAACTTTTATAATCAAAAAGTTTTACGTTCAAAATCAAACTTTTAAGTTTTATATGGACCACTGTCAGTCGGATGGGTGCAATTTTCTGGTCATAGTGTCAATATTAGAATTGTCCCTCTTTTTTTTCAAACAGCCCGTCGGCTGGCGCCCGCTGTGATGCGCCTTTTATTGATACGTTATTTTACATGCTTTCCTTTCTGATAGACTAACTCCATAGTAAAATAAATCATAACCATTCAAAGAGTTCAGAATGTTGAGCATCTTAGAAATGATTTGCCAACAGCAGCAACCCTTCGCAGCCACGATGAAGCTTGTGAATCAAGATGCCGATGTCAAAAAAATTCAAGACTTATTGTCCGGGACCGGACTGGCGGATTTGAACGTCGATTTAAACTCTTAGATATGATACAAGACGAGCTTGAAGTGCAACCAGTACTTCGACATGCGACTCAGAAGCGCAACATACGTCGAAGGATAGACACAGCGCATGTAGAATCGCCTGCCGTCGGCGCATCCCGAAAGGCGACGTGCTTCCAGGCAAAGAATTTCACACTAGCCTTGATCGATCTAAACTATACATGTGAATATATCATTCTGCCGGGTCTGTATACCGCGGTCAACAGGTCCGCAATTCCCTCTGTACTGGAGGCTCCTCAACCTAAGCCCACTCGGTTGTCGCAGTGTGTATCTTATGATTGGCTTCCCTGGTCGACAGTTACAAACACACCACAGGGCACGGTAAACTTGACATGCACAAAACGCACGTAGCAGCATATAGCCCCTTGAACGACAGGACGGAACAAATCCCTCAGATGAACCGTTGTACTCTTGAATATATCTTCGTATAGAAGAAAATTATCAACATACAACTCCTGCCAACGAATATTGGGTAACTTTTGCATGTAGTTGAACATGATAGCATGATGAATGGGGAATACAACCTTTCTGTAGGACTCAAAATCACAATGTACAATAAGATAATAGGGCCCCATGTCACCATTGTCTGCAAACTAGTGCAGAATGACTTAACTACCAGGCCAAAATCTAACGAGAATGCCCACTTTGCGACATAGGCTCTTGAAAAATCTATTTATATGCTGTTGATGAATATTGTTAAGTCATCGGTCTAATGTTCCCTGTGCATTTCATTCTGACATCACCGATCGGTTCTACTGGAACTGCCACGAGCATGTGCCTTAGCGCTAAAAAGCTCATCTCCAACGCCACTCACAAACCTCTTCACCATACCATCTCTTGCCTTATAGCATCCATCACACATTCGAACCTGGACTCCGCTCTCAGGATCTGTCTTTACACCTGAGCATGGATTACAGAAGATCTTACCGCACGCACGACAATGGTGTTTGCGTTTGAAAGGTGTGAATGATTCGCCACATTCCTTGCACGCACGGACATTGTCATCCAGCTCCCATGTGAGACCAGATTCAGATCCTTCCCGAACTTCGGCGAGCTTTCGCTCCAGATCCTGTGAGTGTAAAACATACTCGTTCTTGACAGTCTCCTCCACCTTGACGCGCTCTTCCATATCCTTAACCACCTGCTCCAGCAACAGTCCGTTTTTCTTCTCCGTGTTGACCTGTTCAGTCATATCTTGAATCACAGCTTTAGCTTTGAGCTTAACACTTGCCATCTGTTGCTTACCCACCTCTATAGCATCCTTCAAAGCCTCGCACTCGTCTGCGTATCTCTGCTCAGCCTCCTCCATCTCTGCTCTGATGAGCTGCACATCGCTGTCGCGTCCACTTCGCACTCTTTGAACTTCCCTTTCGAGTGCCTCGATCTCCTCGTTCACACGCACATGCTCACACATATCCTTCCTGCTCGTCTCTAACTCTTGCCTCAAGCTCTCAATTTCTAAACTCAGTTTCTCCTTTTTATCCCTATGCTCAACCAAGATGGCCTGCAACATCTCCTCAACAACCCTTATTCGTTCCTCGTACTCTTCTCTCAATGTCTGTACACTCTTTGCATGCGTCTCCACCATCTCTTTTGCTATCAAGGCATGTCTACTCGTAGCCTTATCCATCTGCGTGGTTTGGTTGCGCAGTATTTCCTCATTTACTCCGACAATCTCAAGATACACTTCCTTCAGATCCGCTAACTCGGCTTTACACTCATCGAAGTCCTTAAGTTTAGTACTGGCTTCCTTCACAATCTCTCTTAGCTCCTCTACCTTGACCTCTGCATCCATTAATCGCGCACTCACGCTCGACTTCTGTTTTTCCAGTGACTTGATCGTATCCACGTGCGCAGCAACCTTCCCTTGCTCCTCTTTCTTGCGTGCGCTGGCATCTCTCAACATGCTCTGTAACTCCTTTACCTTCACTTCACTATCCGCAAGCCTAGCGTGTGTGTCCCCTTGCCCGCTTTCCAGCTGGACTATTTTCGTCCTGTACATATCTAATTGAGCCTCTACTTCACTCCTTAGCGCTGCCACTTCCCTTTGCTCCGTGGTAGCGGTCTGTAGCGACTCTTCTAGTTCTCTTATCCTCGCTTCTGAATGGCTAAGAGCCTCGTCTCTTTCACATTCCATAGTCACTAGCTGCTCAGAGATGGTCCCTTTGGCGGCTTCTGTTTGGCGTATTCTATCCAGGAGCGTAGCCTTCTCTTCCTCTAACGCTTCATTGTGCTTGCTATTCTCCTGCAGATCTCGCCAACACTTCTCGAGCTCATCCTTCACCTCAGTCAGTTCCCGTTCCAAGTTTTCGTCACCTTCCAACCGCTCCCTTTCCACCGCTTGCGCTTCCGCCAGAACGTCCTCTAGGCTATCTCTACGCGCGCACGCATCCTTGAGCTCACTGTCGAGTGCCTCTACAGCCCTCTGCATGTCCTTCTCCTTCTCTTCAAGTACCTGTACGTATTCCTCACTGTCTCGCAACTGCTGCTTCACATCCTCCAGCTCCGTCTGCAACTCGCTCACCTCGGCCGCATTGGCGCCCTGCACACCGTCAAACTCCTCCAGCTGCTGCAGACACACATCTCGCTCTCTTTCCGCTTCACTCAACTGTTCCTCCCGTGTACGCAGAACACCTTCAACGGCCTCCATTTTATTTTGCATATCCCTCGCAAAGCTCTCATACTGTGCCGCGTGCTCCTCCACACTCTCACGCGCCGTCTGCAACGCCCCACTAACTTCATCCATGTTTTGCTTTGCCTCTTCGCGCACGTGTTCGATCTCCTGAACACACTCGTCTCGCTCACGTTGCATACTTTCCAGTTCATTTTGCACACGCTCTAGCGCATTCTCGTTGTCCTCAGCCTCTCCCATGAGACACTCAATTCTAGCCATTAAGTCCTGCTTCTCCAGTTCAAGACCCTCCAAGGAACCACTGCGTTTGCGATACTCCTCCTCTTTCGCTTTAAACTCATCCTCCGTTTCTCTCAAAACGGTTTCCTTGTCCAGTAGCGTGTTATCCTTCTCTGTCAACTTCTCCTGCAACTGCGCGACCTTTGCTTCTAACAGAACAATCTCAGTTTTTAACCTCTCGACCACAATCTCCAGTGCTTGTACAGCCTCTTTCGCAGCAGTTTCTCGTTCCAACGCGTCCGTCAACCGTACGTGTAATTCCGAGTCCTGGCTATCCCTCAATGCTCTCATACTCTCCTCCTTCTCATCCAGAGTCCGCTCTAATTCCACAACCCTTTCGTTCAGATCGCCCGCAGCGTCTTCCAAGCCTTCACACGCCTCTCTTACAGCAGTCTCACGTTCTAAGGCCTCGTCCAATTCATTCCGAAGGTCGGCATTTTGACTGCGATGTTCATCACTCTGCCGCTGCATCTCCGCACCCTGTCGCTGCAACTCATGGCTACCAAACTCAGCCATAGCCTGTGCTTCGTTCAGCCTGGCCTCAATCGCACGGATGTCTTCTCGTGCCTCCTCCTGGGAGATATCATACTGTGTAGCTATACCTTGCAGCTCTTCTTCGATGATGTACTTCTCTTCCTTCAGGTACTCTAGCTGTTCTCTAAACCCATCTCTGCGCGTGCAAGCGTCACTCAGCTCAGCCTTAAGATGTCCTATTTCGATGTCATACCCGTCTTTCAGCTTCTCTTCCATCTCCGCCTTCAGCTTAACCAACGCTTCCTCCGCTTTCGCCAGAGTTGCACTTGTACTCTCCTCCATCTGCGCGTGCTCAGTGGCGAGAGTGTCGTTCTGTGCATTCAGTCGACCAACCGACTCTTCCAGTCCCTTCATTTCACGCACATGCTCTTCGTTGCGCTGTTCCAGATCATGCACCTTCGCATCCAGCTCGTTTCGAGTTCCTGTGGCACTTTCACTTGCTACAACCAACTCAGTCTTGTGCTGCTCAACGTCTGCTTCGAGAACTTGTATTTGTTTCTGTAGCTCCTCCATCTGTGTGGCCCTATCTGCATCACCTCCCTCTATAAGACTCGTCTTTACCGCAACCTCTTTCTCTAGCCGCTCAATCTCCTGCCCTCTCGTCTCAGCCTCTCGTTCCAGCTCGGTAATCCGCTCCTTCTTAATTGTCCTCTCTCGCTGCGCCCCTTCCACTGCCGCCAGGTGTTCGTCAGTGATCCTCTGCGCCTCCACACTCAGAGAGGCAACATGTGCACTCAACTCCTGCATCTCTTGCACGGTCTCCATGTGAGTCTGCTGCATCTCTTTAAGCTCGTCCTCGATAGAGTCTTTCTCCTCGCACAGCCGCTGCTTTTCCGTGTTGTGTTCTCTCACACAGGCACCCATTTGCAGCTGACACTCAGCCAGCTCGTTCTCCAAGGCCAAGCCCTTCTCCACACTCGCTTCCAATTCCTTCTCAGCTACCAACACCTTTTCCTTCATCCGGCCCACTTCTTCGTTGGCTCTATCTTTTTCCTCCTCCATCTCCTGCCTTGCACACACAGCGTGCATCTTCTCCGCCTCCACCTTACGCAGCTCTTCACTCAGACTCTTCGACACATCACTTCCATCGGCCATAGCTATGCTCAACTGTTCGGTCAACGCCTGTAGCTGCCCTTCCAAACTCTGTACGTGCGTGTCTGCGGCACGCTGGGCAACTTCTAAATCGAGCTTCTCCCGTTTCACGATACTCAAATCGTCACGCAAACTAGTGAGAATACTTTTGGTTTCCTCCATTTCTTGCAGACTTTCGTTGTGCTTATTATTTGAAACCTTAATCTGTACTTCCAGCTCCATCGTGTGTACGTCTGCGGCCTGCACAGCACCCTCGAGAGCGAGCTTTTCTGCCTCTAACACACCCAAACTTTCGCTCAACGCGGCCAATTCGCGGTGCATCGCTTCACCCTCAGTCACACAAACCACGTGCTTCTCTTCCAGCACACGCAGTTGGTCCTCTACGGCAATCTTCTCCTGTTCCAAGGTACCGAACTTCTCCTGTGCTTCATCCACCTCGCTCTGCAGCTGTACTACCTTACACTCGTATTCGTCTGTTGACAATTTCAGGGCACACATTTCCTCTGCCACCACAGCCTTCTCCTTCTCCATAACACCACACTCATCTCGCGTGGACTCCAACACCTGTTGCACACTTGCTAGCTCGTTGTGCGCAGTCTCCAGCTCTCCTCGCAAACTCTCACTATCGCGAAGGAGAGCCTTTTCCCTCTCCCCCAAATGTCTCAGCGCATCGTCTGCTCTATCTTGCTGAACATTCAAACGCTCGACCGTTGTCTGCAGTTCTGCAATCTGAGCTTCGTGCGCTTCGTGAGAGATATCCAGTGTCATCTGCAGCTCTTTGAGTGCATCCTCAACAGATTGCTTCTCAGTTTTAATCACGCTTATCTCTTCTCCCAACTCGCGCTCTGCCTCCTTCAATGCTTTCACCCGTTCCTCAGCCGTAGCGCACACAACCCTCATCTCCGCCAAAGCTTCATCAGCCTTAACCTTTTCCTCCTTCCCTGCATCTATTTCCTGCTGTTTTTGGTTCACTTCATGCGTACCGCCCTCTCGAGCCTCTCTCAGCTCAGACTGCAATGTGTCCACTTGTAGTTCCAATTGAGCCCTTGCATCCTCCAACTCTGCCTTCTCCGAACACGCACTGGCTAAGTGCCCCTCTAAATCTTTAACACGCGCATGCAGGCGTTCCATCTCCAAGCTGCCACTCTTACGCTCCTTATCCATATCACCACGCAGCATGCCGATTTGTGCTCGGAACTCAGTGATGAGCATCTCCTTCTCACTCGCAGTCGCCTCCAGCGCTGCCACAGTACTGTGCAGAGCTTCCCTCTCTGACCGCATGCTGCCTAGTTCGGATTCGAGGTTTGCGGCTGTTTCCTGCAACAACGAGATATTTTCCTGTATTGTGGTTATTTCCTCACATTTCCTCGCTATTCTCTCCACTGCCCGTGTATGTGCTTCATCGAGCGCCCTCAGTTCCTCACACACACCGTTCAGCTCATCAGTCAACTGCGCATTCTCTTCACCGAGTCGCACCTTGTCCTCCGAAAGGCTCACTACTTGCTCTTCCACTTTTTTATATTCCACATTCAAACGCTCACACTCTGTGCTGACTGTCTCTACTTCCGCACACTTGCTAGTCAGTTCTCCTGTCACCTGCTTATATTCCACTCTCAGGCGTTCGCATTCCAAACCGAGTGTCTCTACTTCCGCAGACTTGTTTGCCAGTTCTCCTTCCCGTTGCGCTAATAAGTCCTTCGTTTGTGTCAACGCCGCACCCACTTCACTGAGTGCTTCATCTCTCGCTATCCCATTCTTGTCACTGAGCTCCCGCAGTTTCGCCAGCGCCTCCATTTCTTGCTCCAACTTCCGCTCCAGGGCCTCATTACTTGTATCTTTCTCATCTACAATCACCTCCAACCTATCTACAACTGCAACCTTTTCGTCCACAGCCACTCTCAGACTCTCCATAGACGCGTCTTTCTCTTGCAACTTTCCACGTAGTTGTATTATAACTCCTTCCTTCTCCTGGACGCTAGACGTCAAGCCCTGTATAGCCTCTGTCAACTCGCTCTCCTCCGCACTCCCACGCGCGTCAGCTATCTGCTTCCGCTCACCCATACGCAGGAGCTCAGCACTAATCTGGCGTGTCTCTGCATCTTTGTCACTTAGTCCCTTAGTGAGAGAGTCAACCTGTGCTTTGAGTGCCACGTGCTCGTCCATTTGGGTGGAGTGTACTATTTGTAAGTCGCGTAGGGTATCCTCGGCCGCAGTCCTTGCATCAATTGCACTCTACGTGTAATGGGGTCGCATATGAGAAGATTATGGATAAATACAATTGAGTCGAGGCCTCGGCTGAGTCATAAACAATACAGGATTAACCACTAGTGTGAATATTGCGTGAACGGCTGATTGCACGAGTCCTATATTTTGGATAAGCTGATACCGCGTTTACCAAATGAACGGACTTCATTTCATCTTTGAATCCTTTTGGATATACTCGAGTTCGAGAGAATACTTCGAGTTCGAAGCAGTTCATCTAAATAAGATTAATCGCAAATAATATTTAGGCAGAACAAACATATCAAGATCAGTACCTGCATGTCTAGTATCGTATTTTCAAATACTTGAAAAACACACATGCAGACCCCCAAACTCTGTGTACTCACTTGCAGATCGGTTGCAGACGTTTCTAGCACCGTTTGCAACGCTTTGATTTCCATCTCCCGTTCTACACGCATATTTCGGTTGAGCTCTTGGAACTTCTCCCTTTGCTCTACCGCCATAGAGTCTAGTCCGGCCTGGTACTGTTTATCGCTGCAGATATAAATCGCGTACACGTGTGAAATAGAGTGAATATATGTGTGTATGTTGAAATATATGTGTATATATTTAATCTTGTGTGTTGACAATACGTGTAATCTGCAATATTTAAATGTGAGAAAGATTACGGATGTTTCAGTCTAGTGCTATTCGTGTGAAGTAGACAAGTATAAATCTTTGAACAAACCCATATTTGAATTTTGGAACATCGCCACATACATCTCCAGCTTAAGCTCGTCGCGCTCTTGTTTTATAATCTCGATAGTTTGCTGCAGTGCTTCGATCTTCAAGTTATCGGAGTTGTGTTCGTTTTCGCTCCTGCCCCTCTCATCGTCTTTCCGTTTTAATTTCCGGAACTCCTTTTTTAGTGCTTCGTACTTGCTTTCGAGCACCTGAGGGCGACCAATGCAAAACACGAACATTAGTCACATTATCCACCAACTCATTTCCAGCTTCTGTCAATATTTCAGCTCGGTTACCAAATTATTCTTCCCTGTCGACTGTGGAAGTACACAAGACCTTCGTCGGAAAGTAGTTAGTCTGGCACCGCATGTGCATCATGTAAATCTTACATCAAGCAGGCGATACAACATTACATTCAAAAAAGCCTATTATTGCCCTGAACAATACCATACTCTTGTGCCTTCGTCACAGAGGTACAGTTGCTCACCATATCCGCCATGTACAACGTGCACATGCAAATGTGTGTTGTCACCCACACATCCATTGCATACGTACCAAACGGATACCAGTGAGATTTTGGCAGGTGATACTATCGTCCGTAACGGTTGCCGCAAAGCAATAAACTGAGAATAGACTAGTGCGATTGTTTCCGACCATGTACACTATCGTACAGAGCGGAATTTATAGCTCGTATCCACGACAACTAACGTCCGTAGATAGTATCTGTACTGCAAAGTACCTTTCCAGCCTTCTCGTTGGCAGCCTCCGTTGTACTCAGCGCTTCTTGTACCGTAGTCAGAGACACGTTCAGCTGTGATATCTGCCGCTGCAAGTCGCCGTTCTCTGTCTGTAGCTTCTGCGTGTTCATCTGTGACCAGAGAGTGAGTGATGATTAGATAATTATTGATGTGTTCTATTGGCTTACTCGAGTGCTCGGGAGGCTTTTCGCATATTGCCTATTCAAAGACATCAATATGAGTCTACACGGAGGAAATATCAAAGACATTACCATGCGGATGCTATCAAACCATTCCTCAAATATAAACATACTGTATAATAACTATACAGATTTTATAAACATAGCAAATATCCTAGCACTGTGCCTCATAGCAAGAATGTGTTCGTCTATACAGATATATAAATAAATACCTATATATATATATATACATATACACATACACAAACATATAAACATATATATATATATATGCACGTATGTATGTATGTATATGTGTGTGCTTGTGTATGTATGAATACATATATATATACACACATATATATATATTCTATATATATATATTTGTGTGTGTACGTATGTGTGTATGTAGGTACGTATATATATATATATATATATATATATATATATATATATATATAAATATATATATATATATACATATATATATATATATATATAATATATATATATATATATATATAAATATATATATATATATATATATATATATATATATATATATATATATCCCTATCATATATATATATATATATATATATATATATATATATATATATATACATATATATATATATATATATATATACATACATACATACATATATATATATATATATATATATATATA